ATATTTCCTTTTTCGGATCACACGTCCACTGAACCGTCATCTGACCCCGAGCCTCATGCTGGGGAGATAATTTTGCATGAAGATTCTTCGGGACTCACCTCCCATGCGACTGTTCCAGACTCCACACATGAAGGTTCCTCCTCTACCGAACTGCATGCAGATAGCTCTAATGCCGCGGATGTTCCTCTCGGCCGCGGCTTACGTACGAAGCGCTCCTCGGTATTATTACGGGATTTCGTCACACATCATGTTCGCAAATATAGCCCATCTCCACCGACATCTCCTCCTCTCGGTTCCTCAGGTACGCCATACTCACTAGCACATTATATAAACTGTGAAAAATTTTCTCCACGATATCGCATGTTCCTTGGAGCTATTCTTGCAGGACAGGAACCTCGCTCTTTTCGCGATGCCATGACAGATTCTGGTTGGCGGGCGGCCATGCAAAGTGAAATCCAGGCTCTTGAACAGAACCACACGTGGGATATGGTCTTATTACCCCCAGGTAAGAAAGCTCTTGGGTGTAAATGGGTGTATAAGATCAAATATAATTCTGATGGTACAGTTGAACGACTTAAGGCGCGGTTGGTGGTGCTCGGAAATCATCAACGTGCAGGTATTGATTATACAGAGACATTTGCTCCTGTTGCCAAAATGGTAACTGTGCGTGTTTTTTTAGCGGCTGCGGCAGCTAAAAATTGGGAATTACACCAGATGGATGTGCACAACGCCTTCCTTCATGGTGACTTGGGAGAAGAGGTTTATATGAAACCTCCACCCGGGTTTTACTCCTCTCGGCCATCGACCGTCTGTAGGTTGCGGAAATCTTTGTACGGTTTGCGTCAGGCCCCGCGCTGTTGGTTTGCTAAACTTGCTGCCTCATTACGAGCGTATGGATTTTCTCAATCTAAATCCGATTATTCCTTATTTATCTACTGTCGTGATGACATACACTTACAGGTTCTTGTTTATGTGGATGATTTAATTGTTGCCGGTAATAATACTCTTGCTTTGTCTCGGTTCAAGCAATATCTGCATCATTGCTTCCATATGAAAGACTTGGGACCTCTCAAATATTTTCTGGGAGTTGAAGTGGCGCGCAGTGCCGAGGGGTTATTTCTCTGCCAACGAAAGTATGCTTTGGACATTATTAACGAAGCTGGCTTGCTGGGTGCTAAACCTTCTTCCTGTCCTATGGAACCCAATCATTCTTTAGCCTCGGCTTCCGGGGATCTGCTCTCGGATCCTGAATCTTACCGTCGCTTAGTGGGACGACTTATTTATCTATCTTTCACTCGCCCGGATTTGGCCTATGCTGTTCATATTTTATCTCAGTTTATGCAGGCACCTCGTCAGGAACATTGGCATGCTGCTCTTCGTGTAGTTCGGTACCTTAAGGGTGCTCCTGGACAAGGTATTCTTCTCTCCTCTTCCTCGGCACTTCATCTTACAGCTTGGTGTGACTCAGATTGGGCGAGTTGTCCTCTCACTCGTCGATCTCTTACTGGCTGGCTGATTTTTCTTGGCGGATCTCCTATTTCTTGGAAAACCAAGAAACAACACACAGTTTCACGTTCTTCTGCTGAAGCAGAATATCGCTCGATGGCCGCAGTCACCGCAGAACTACGCTGGCTAAAAGGTCTTCTTCTGTCTCTTGGGATTGTGCATCCTCATCCGATGTCTTTATTTTGCGACAGCCGCTCTGCCATTCACATTGCTCAGAATCCTGTCTTTCATGAACGTACCAAACACATTGAGGTTGATTGTCACTACGTGCGGGAAGCTATTCAAGATGGACTTCTCACAACTCATCATGTTTCTACCGACAACCAATTGGCTGATATCTTTACTAAGGCTCTTGGGCAACGACAATTTTTATTCCTTCTTAGCAAGTTGGGCATTTTTAATCCTCATGCTCCAACTTGAGGGGGGGTGTTATGGGCCTACGTTGTACATTTATTTAGTTTAGTATTTATTCTTATTATGGGCTAAGGGCTCCTTCATACTTGTATATATAAATATTGTAGCTTGTCATAATAATACACGAGATTACTCTTGCCGATTATACTCTTCGTCCATACCCCAGGAACAGCCGAACAGTATGATTTGTGGAAGATTTTAATAATTGTTAGTAATTAAGTCTCCAATGAAATACTCATTGGTATGATTCAATTGAATTGAAATGTTTTTATTTTGGCACAAAATTGTTGTGTTGAAACTTGGAAAGGAAAATCCAATTTTTTTGTCGCACAGGATCTCAATTTGATCACGACCGCCCATGGTTTCAGACACATCATAAAGATTAGAGAGTAGGGACAACTCAAGATAATCAATCCTCCTCTTCAATCACAGTAATTGCTCTATTAATTCATAAAAAATGTCCTAACAACCACCATTAATTCATATAAATGTACCATTAACTCCCACAATCAATTCCAATAAATGTAGAATTAAACCACCATTTATTTGCTCCATGACTCCATCATTGATATACACATCTTCTGGCACTCTTACGGGTATATAAAACTAGAATTGTAATAAAGGAATCTGAATAATATCTAATATTGTATTCCTTTTACGAATTTATATTTTCCAAACTTTAGCTATTATAGTTCTATTTGACTTTTTTTATGGAGTAGTGAATAGGAGTGCTCACTGTACATCCGGGTAGTTTTACCATTCTTTGTAATTTGAATGTCTATAATTAACTCATTAATTTTTCTCTTTTATTGCTTTCCCTCAAACATCTTCTTCCTTGTGTGCTCTGCTCCTTTTCTTCTGACTTCTTCTCCTTTTCTTTTTTCTTCTTTTATATTAACAAATATAAGTCATCGTAATATGGCCAGAAACCAAAGAACTTCTCATCGTGGTGGTGGTCGGAGCTGAATGAGAGTGGCGGTGACTGAGATGGAAGAATCGACGGTGGCTAGGTTGGATATGTGCCACCGCTCGCGATGGCGGTGGGAGTTATAGTGACATCATTCTGAAAGTGCAATATTGTTAGTAGTGTAATTTGATCAAAAAAGCCCCCTTTCAAATGCAGATAGAACTTTTTTTCCTTTTCCCCCTTTTTTTCCCAGCTCGACAAGTTACCAGCTTAGCATGTTGATCACATTGTCTTAATGGTCAATCCATAGTAGAGAACACGATATTGAATATACTTCCCTCTGTAACATTCATATATTTCCGCTTTCTTTTTTCGTCTGTAACATTCATATCTTTCCATTTCTAAATCTACATATTATACTCTCAATAATTTTGAAAATAATACACTATTACAAGTACTTTTTTTGGATTTATCTTTCATTCTACCACACTATTTTATCATCTTCCCATCATACCCTCGATAATTTATATCCTCTTCGCTATTCTTAATTTCACATACTTTTAAACGAGAAGATATAAGTGTTACGGAGGTAGTATATGTTTTGATACTCAATGCAGAGTTTCAATGCTCAATAAAGATGTTTGATCACATAATCTCAAACTCAATAATAAAGAACACGATATCCAATGAAAATATTTTGATGTTCAATGCAAAGTTCCAATGCCCAATAAAGATGTTTGTGTTATAATATGGAAGGAAATAAGCAGAAGATCAGGGAGAGAAAATATAGTATGCACACTTAGTGATAGATTATGTTATTGAGAGTGTGATAATGGTGTAACCATGATGTATAAGTACAATGGAGAAGACTCCTATTTATAGGAGAAAAGTTAAGCTTATTAGGATTAGAGGATAATTGTGAACCACACAATTATCATCTAGAATCATAATTATGATTTCCTGATTATTTATATAATGGTGATAATAATTCCTAATCGGGTATAGTTGGAAGATGACTAATTCAATAATATTTCAACACTCCCCCTTGAATGGTCATCTTCTAATTATTCAGGGGTATTAGTTTCATAGTATTATAATGTACTGTCTCGTTAAAAACCTTTTTCAGGAAAAACCCAATGGGAAAAAAATCCTGATGAAGGGAAAAAGAGTACAGTGCATTATATTACTCCCCCTCAATTCAACATATATCTCGAAGACAATACATTCCAATTTTGTGGACAAGTTCTTTGAATTCCTTCGGTGCCAATGACTTTGTGAATAAATCAGCAGGATTGTCACGGGACTTGATTTGTTAGGATTGTCACGGGACTTGATTTGTTTGACATCAACCGTTCCTTGTTTCTCATAATCATGTGTGGAGAAAAGTTTTGGTGCTATATGCTTTGTTCTATCCCCTTTGATGTAACGTCCTTTGACCTGCGCTATATCTGGCTAACAAATTTATAGAAAAAGCTAGAAATATCTAGTCAAGTATAATATTAGTCAATTACATTAATGCTTCAAATATCTAGCATTCAAATATATTATTTCACGACCAAGGTTTTATTCATCAGATTCACAAGGTCGGAAAAATCATCATTCATATTGAGAGATCGAAACATTATTGAAAAATTGAGCGGGTGTGGTTTATTCATGTAAAACCACTTCAAAAGTTTCTTGGTATATTTTGATTGATGAATAAAAATACTATTTCTCAAATGTTCAATTTGAATGACGAGACAAAATTTTGTCCTCCCAATACCTTTCATTTCAAATTCTTTCATGAGATATTTTGCAGTATTTTCAATTTTAATGGGAGTTTCAATAATGATTAAATAATCAACATATACTGCAATCATGACGAATCCTAATTCGGATCACTGAATGAAAACACATGGACTAATAGGATCATTTGTATATCCTTCTTTAATCAAATATTCACTGAGACGGTTATACCACATGCGTCCAGGTTGTTTTAATCCATATAATGACTTTTGCAATTTTATGGAAAATAAATCTCGAGATTTCGAGCTATAAGTATCAGGTATTTTAAAGCCTCCAAGAATTCTCATATATGTGTTTGTGTCGAGTGAACCGTATAAATATGCGGTCACTACATCCATTAGGTGCATTTGCAACCTTTCAAAAACAGACATGCCAATTAAAAATCTTAAAAGTTGTAGCATCAACTACTGGAGAATACGTCTCATCATAATCGATTCCTGGCATTTGAGAAAAACCTTGGGCAACAAGCCGGGCTTTGTATCTAACGATTTCATTTTTCTCGTTGCGTTTACGCACAAAAAACCATTTAAAACCGACAGGTTTTACGCCTTTTGGCGTATGAACAATTGGTCCAAAAACATTACGCTTTTCTAGCGATTTTAATTCTACCTGAATTGCTTCATTCCATTTTGGCCAATCATTTCTACGACGACATTCATCAATAGGCTCATTGTCATTGTGTTCATTCATTATATTTGTGGCAATGGCATATGAAAAATATATCATTAACATCAATATCATTTCTATTTCATTGTATTCCATTAGAAACGTAATTAATTGAAATTTCGAAATTATCGACGTTTCTATCTGTATTTGGAATATTTACCTCTTCGAAGGTGATTGGATCCTCTTTTGAGGTTTCATTATTATTGATGTTATCTTCAAAGCCGATATTTTCAAAATGTTCATTTTCTTCTTGAGAAGGTTGAACTTCTTTGGCATCCCAAACTACAACTTGCAGTTAAATTTTCTTGGTTTCAAATCTCTTGAACCAAGTGGTCTACCACGTTTTTTACGTATCATAGATTCATTAGCAAGTGTTCTTTTGCTAATCTCCGCAGGAATTTCTATTCGAGAAGGAGCATTCATAGCTGGAATATGTGACTTGGTCACTTTCTTTGAGTCTGTGAAAGCATTAGACAATTGGTTTGCAACATTTTGTAAATGAATAATCTTTTGAATTTCTTGTTCACAAGCATTTGTGCGAGAATCAAGAAAAGATAAATTTGTTGCATTCCAAGTAATAACTTTCGTACGTGGGTCTATTTCTTTAATATCTCCCCCTAAGGCTGGGAATACTGTCTCATCAAAATGACAGTCATCGAACCGCACGGTGAATAAGTTACCAGTCATAGGTTCTAGATAATTAATAATTGAGGGAGATTTGAAACCAACATAAATTCTCAGCCTTCTTTGAGAAGCCATTTTAGTACGATAAGGTGGAGCATTTGGTACATACACAGAACAATCAAATACTTTTATGTGTGATATACGGAGTATTTGGTTCTTTATCAGATATTAATTGCAATGGAGAAAGTTTATGATATGCAGTTGGCCTAACCCGAATTAAATTTGCAACATGCATGATAGCATAACCCCATGCAGATGATGGTAATCTGGATTTCATCAATATTGATCTAACAATTAATTGTAATCGCTTAATTAAGGATTCAACAAGACCATTTTGTGTATGCACATGTGGACTGGATGTTCCACATCAATCCCAATAGATATGCAACAGTCATTAAAAGATTGGGATGTAAATTCTCCTGCATTATCAAGTCGGATTTTCTTTATCGAATAATCCAGAAATTGTGATCTCAAACGAATAATTTGAGCAAGAAGATTTGCAAATGCAAAATTTCTAGTCAATAAAAGACTGACGTGTGACCAACGTGTTGATGCATCAATGGGCACCATAAAATATCGAAAGGGTCCACACGGAGGGGCAATTGGCCCACAAATATCTCCTTGAATTCTTTCTAAAAATGCAGGAGATTCAACTCCAATTTTGCATAAAGATGGCCTGATAATTAATTTGCCAAGAGAACAGGCAGTGCACGGAAAATCACTTGATTGTGCAATTTTGACATTATTTAACGAATGTCCAAGTGAATTTTGAATAATTTTGTGCATCATAGTGCTGTCTGGATGACCTAAACGGTCATGCCGCAAGATGAAAAAATTGTGGTCATTAATTTTAGATACCACATTTATCTCAATTGGACTGATATATGTATAATACAATCCCAAGGAATATGCTGGCATTTTTTCAGAAATTTATTTATTGTCAGCTCTATTTGTCGTTAGACATAAATATTCCTTCTGATTTTCAGACATGATTTCCATATGAAAACCATTTAGATGCATATCTTTAAAACTCAAAAGATTTCCTCATGATTTCCTCATGAAAACTCAAAAGATTTTTTTTTTTCAAAAGATTTCCTCATGATTTACTGGAGTATAAAACGTCTTTAATTATTAATTTTGTCCCTTTTGGGAGAATCACACATGCTATTCTAGAACCTTCAATGAGTTTAGCAACACCTGAGATTGTATTGACATTAGCATCAACTAATGTCATATGAGAAAAATAATCTCTATGTCTCAAAATGGTGTGCGTTGTGGCAGTGTCTATTAGACATTGTTCAAAATCACTTGGAGAAATTTCAGTTAACTCCATATCTTCACGAAGATAAAAATGAACCAATATTAGTTCAATATTGTAATATAAATTGTACTTTATTCAATTGTACATTTAGAATTGCATAACTTTCACGTTAAAAAAATAAGCACTTTAAATTTTTATTTTGAAATATACTCCATATTAGATAACAAGGAGAAAGTAAAGTGAGATACTTTATTATGACTTTTAATTTACTTCTTATTAATTTCTAGCTCATCATTTGAGATTAAAAACAATCATAAGTGCCGTTATGATGGGTTATTCCCGGCAATTGACAGAAATGTACATAATAACCGTTTGATTCAAGTTACTCTCATACTAATTGTTAAGGGGTCCATCTTAACAAATAGAGACATTGCAACTCGATAATCAAAGGTTTTTAAAGTACAAATTATGCTCGTTATTTTTAGTTGATAGATTGTTTTGATACAAATAAAGCCATAAAGACATTTAAAGAGACCGGAATAACCATGTTGTTTTTTGTTTCACTTTACCTGAATGAAAGCCAAACAATTAAGGGAGTAATAATAAACATCCATAATGTCAAGACAAATCCCAAATCACTAGTTGCTTAGTGATTCCTTTATTAAAGCAAAAAGACAAATAATATAAATACTCTTATCCATGAGTATGGGCAATGTGGCCCGTGACTTGTGACTAGTTGACTATGTATATGTGAGGTGCTATTTTGCTCACATGTATTATAAAGTTTGAAATAACCATAAAATGTTCTGTAATCGGAAACAATTTACAATAATTGCTTCATGATTTTTTTTAATTATCTTATTATCATTTAAATAGCGCGCCTCATTAGATAGTCCGTGAGACCGTGACCATCACCAGAAAGAAAAACAAAAGATGTGCAAGCACTGGCCTGGTCTCACTTACTGGCATGGTGCACCATAAGCTAAGGTTTTATTAGCATTATTCCGTATATTAGTAGATGCTACAAAATACTTCGTAGTGGAAGCTAAACAATTATTATCTTTAATGCAATAACACATGCACCTTGATATCTTATTAATGCAAAACATACAATCGTGCTTCATATTAATATGTATTGCAAGAGCTAGCTCATATACTTCATAGAGAACTGGGCTATCTCTTCTACGCAAATTTTCTTTTACTCCATCTTTCATTTTAGTTTATTCTAGAAGTCTTCATATAGTATACAAATTTATCTCTACTTTGTATTTAAACTCCGTTTAGTTTAAATATATGAGTATAGTGAAAGATTTACGGAGTGTTATAGATACTACATGATTAAGAATATAATGACTGACGGTTTTATATATGAAGTATAAACGATTTATTCAAAGAAGAGTTTTCAAAGAAGTTCCAGTATGTACTTCTACATTTTATTTTTCTTTTCAATCTGATTTGCCCAGAAAATCACTATGAAATACGTTGAATACTTGTATGGTTGACTGACTTGTTTACTTCACTCTATCTCCTCTTCCCTTTTTCGTAAGAGTTATATACGGGGCATATGATATTTCGTATTTTGGAAGAAAATGTCAAGATCAGAAAAGAAAAACTCATCTCTTTCTTCCCTCGGCTTATATTTCTTTTATATAGAAAATAGCTATAATTTTCTGATATGGAGGATCCCAATTGTTGGGCCCATAGAGCATACTTCTTGTAGTCTTGAATATATATAAAACATGTTTATACTTCTCATCCTCTGATTTTATTTTTTCAGATAAGCTGATAAATTCGTGAAAATATATATACCTGCTGGAAAGATGATGATTTTAGGTATTCGGAGCAAATTCGTGCTGATAACGTGTTATAATACAGAAAGAAATAAGCAGAAGATCAGGGAGAGAAAGTATAGTATGCACACTTAGTGATAGATTATGTTATTGAGAGTGTGATAATGGTGTAACCATGGTGTATAATTACAATGGAGAAGACTCCTATCTATAGGAGAAAAGTTAAGCTTATTAGGATTAGAGGATAATTGTGAACCACACAATTATCATCTAGAATCATAATTATGATTTCCTGATTATTTATATAATGGTGATAATAATTCCTAATCAGGAATAGTTGGAAGATGACTAATTCAATAATATTTCAACAGTTTGATCATATAGTTCAATACTCAATACTTCAATAGTATAAAGACAAACGGTGTCAATGAAAATGTTCGATACTCAATCAAATAGAGGAAGCGGTCCAGCCCAACTGGTCGCCGACTCACTCTCCCTTGCAGGAGGTTTCGAGTTCGAAATTCAGTGGGATGAGTTGCTCCGGGCTTCCCCGGCCCTTCCCCAGATGCCCATGGAGTAAAAGTTAAAAAAGATGTGGCCAAAAAATAGTCCTAATGCCCAACAGTAGAGTTTTACCTTTGATAATTCCCAATTTCCAAAAACGGACTCATAAAAATATTAAGTGACAACTATGGTACCCATTTAAAAATGGGATACCACATCTACCATTCACTTGATTGGTCCACACCATTAAATCATTTTTAATTGGAAAAATTGACACGAATAATCTCATCTTTCATCGGTCTTCTCATAATAATCTCACCTTTACGTAATCCCAGAATAATCCCACATTTGCACCTCATCTTCTTTCATTGGACCCTGACCAAGTTTTTTACTCTTTTTTTGAAAATCATATAAATAATCTCACATTTCACTTTTTTATTATATCTTTATAAATGTTAGATTATTTATATAAGATATTCAAAGAAAGGTAAAAAATTTGGTCATGGTCCAATGAAAGAAGATGGAGTGCAAAGATGAGATCATTTTGGGATTATTTAAAGGTGGGATTGTTATGAGAAGACTAGTGAAAGGTGTGATTATTCTTGTCAATTTTTCCTTTTTAATTTAGATTTAAATAATTCAAAAATAAAAGAAAACAGTAGATTCAAAAATGAAAGAAAACAGCCTGGTGTTCTGGTAAAAAAAACTAGCCTGGTGTTCTTCAAAAAAAAACTTGCTAGGTGAAGACAGCTTTACATGCAAGATTCGGCGGAGGGAAGACACTGGTGACAAATCCACAGTCTCGATCCATCTGTCCGGCTTACTGATTCTTGCAAAGAATATTAATAGAACGAGAGAAATGCGTCACAGCAACCCTAGTTGCCCAGAGATTAGCAACACTGCTGCATCAACCGACGGTGAACCCCAGAGTTTTGGGGGCGGCGGGCTGAGATCTCCATCGCCGACCAAGTCATTGCCTTTTTCACGCTCAGCTTCTTACTCACTTCCCTCTTTATTCAACGGCTACGCTGCCACCTCGTCTGCGCTGAAAAGGATGCCGCAAAAGAGAAATATGGCATGGTACCCGCCTTGGACAAAGCTATGGCTGGGTTTGCTGATTGCCACCGTTGTTTTTGTGAACTGGTGGATGCTCTCTCGGATCCAGGAATCAGGTCAGACCCATGGGATCAAATTCAAGCTCATTGAAGCTAATTCATCTCCTTTCCCCATTCGGGTAGACTATTCCTCATTTCCTCCACTCCAGCATTCATTTAGATTTGCATTGAAAAAGATGAATTCTTGGTATTGGATTTCTCTTTTAGATCACTTTCTGTTTAAGAAATGAATGAAAGCTCACACTGAGCAGAATTGTTGTGTATCTATGAATATAGTTTGTGTGTTGAGTGCTTCTTAAGTTCTTATTGCAAATGATTTTCCTAATATTTGGAGAAGTAATGGGTGGGGATATTTATGAAAGCAAAAGTTCATAATTAGAAACGGTTTTTGAGAAGCTAGTACCCCCAGCTTTCTCCAAAACTTTTTCCAGAAGATAGTACCCCTTGCTTCTCCAAAATTGAAAATTTTAATCCTCCAGAAATTGTTCTGAATTTAGATCAAACACATTTAACTGATTCGACTCTTAAGTGCTCCTTGAAGGTACTAGTTTTTTAAAAATGCTCCTAGCACCTCCTTGTCTAACAAGAATCTGAAATCTCAGGGGAAACAAAACGTCTGCATATAGCAGACATAAATGAATATTCGCATCCATAAATAAGATGTGGCTTAGTATAGAAACTAAGTGACTGAGCTGTTACTTCAACTAACGTAGGAAGAACTTTTAAGTCTTGGTAAAGGAAAAAGGCCAGAGAAAACTATCTATGCACGGCTACTGGCCAGGGCTGCCCATGCTTTAGCTGAGGTACTCTCTCTCTCTCTATTCACGGTTTACAAGTTAGACCGGTGTATGTCATCTTTTTATTTTGTTATTTGAGGTATTGAATTTGGATTATCTTACATTGCAGCTAAATAATACAATTGAGCCCAAAGACTTGTGGGCAGAACCCTATGCTATCGCATCAACATGGAAACCTTGTGCTGATCAGCGTGACTGGAAACCTAGTGGTCTCTCTCTCTCTCTCCATATATATCTCTGTGGGTGTTTTTTATAGCCTTATGGGTTTTAGCCTTATTTTTGTTTAGACAAGCTTAATCCCTAATCCAGGTGGAAATGCTGGCTACATTTTGGTGACTGCAAATGGTGGTATAAACCAGCAAAGAGTAGCAGTATGTCATGTCTCTGGCCACATTTTATTTGTAATTATCTTATGTTCTGCAAAACACATCTGCAATATATCTCTCTTTTAAGAAACTGATACAGAATTTTGCAATGTTTGTTTTATTGAAACTAAAATCTTCACCGGCTTGCAAAACAGATATGCAATGCTGTAGCTGTTGCAAGATTAATGAATGCAACACTTGTTGTTCCGAAGTTCTTGTATAGCAGTGTTTGGAGGGATGTCAGGTGAAAAAACTCATTCATTTCTTAGTGTATGTACAGTGTACTACACAAATGCTTCTCTTTTCCGAGGTACAAAACATAGTATATATTCACTCTGTTCCAAACATGTCATCAGTTTCATTACTTTATAGTGTTTCACACATATTTAAGAAATTGTTGAAGTATGGATAAAAGAGTGCAAAGTGCTAACATGCACCCATTTAATGTAGTCATGTATGTTAATAAGAGAAGTTGTGTCATACTTCCTCCATTCTTTAATAGTTCAAACAATTTCCTTTTTCAGAAGTTCCATAATAATAGCAACACTTCCATTTTAGGTAATAAAAATGGCTACAATGACTTTAGTAACCTTAATTACAAGAATATAAAATTCCTCCGTATTAATCTAGCCCCACTCTGTTTTTTGTTGCTTCCGTTCTGTTATAGCTTTACCAGCCCATTCATCATTGTTCCATCACTTTCTCTTCTTGTTCTTGATTTCTTTCCTTCTACCAGGTATCCCTATCTCCCTTCATCTTCTTTAATTTCATTTCATCCAACACATCCATTATCTCACTTATCTTTTAGGCCTTTCTTCCAATTCCTTTCAATCTAAGCAACCACAAACTTTTCAACCTCTTCTACCTCACCTTCTTTTCCCCGCAGTGGCAAAAATCTGAACAGAGAGAAGGCTGATTTATTCTCTGACTACTTCCTTCAAAATTCGGCCAATGCTCTGTAATTGAACATGTATACAGTTTGAACTTTGAACCTTACTCCTGTTGCTGTTTCTTTTTTGAAAGATGATTTTTTGGAAATTCTTGGAAGACCCCTCTCACGCGTTCTAGCATTTTATATGCCCAGCTATCACGAGTGTAAACAAGGATGGATTGGAAAAAGAATAGTTCACTTGGGTTTCTTATTTTCCGTTCCCAGACCAATGTTGCAACTATTTCCGAATGAAGGAAGTATTAATTAATTAGAGAAGGAACAATGTAAATTGTTATAAATGATGAATTCAAAATCTAAAATGAGAATTAGTTTGAGAGAAAGAAAAATTAAAAGTGTGACATCTTTTTTTGGGAGAGGAGTAGTAATATATTATCTAAAACAGAAAAGTAACAGCCAAGTTCTACAATTTCTTAGTCAGTTTGGCGATATCTATCAGGAGGAGCATTTTATTAACTACTTGAAACCCGACATTCGAATAGTGAGGGAACTCCCAAAGGAGTTTCAATCATTGGATATGGAGGCAATTGGCAGTCTGGTGAGATTATAATCCTACAAATTACTCATTAGTTACTTTGTCTATGTTCTTATGTTATTTTAATCTTTAATCTTTTAATGCTCTTTTATCTTTTTATCTTTCTTACGTTCTTATGTTATTTTTATGTTATATTTATTTTTATCTTATCCATTTTATCTTACTTTATTTTTTATTCTTCGTATCTTTCTTCACTTTTTGACTCTGATATCATAGATCGATTCATGTTAGTCAACCCCACAATCTTTTGTGAATAAGGCTTGGTTATTGTTGTTGTTGTATGCACCTAGGGTCTATTGGCATGAAGAGTTTTGGATGGAAATACTATGGATGGCATAGTCTATGTTTTGACGAATGGAATGTTTCTAACAATGAATAAACAGTGATTGATTGCTATATGATCGAACATTTAACATGTTTTTCCTTACTCTTTTTAAAACTAAATTATGTATCAAGATGTAGAAAAGTCCCTCCAAAACCCTCCATCCAAACTGACCTGTGAATTTCATATTCAAACTCATCGCTTTATTTATATCTGGAAAATATTGTTGTAGGTGACAGATGCAAATATTTCCAAAGAGGCCAAACCAAGTTTTTATTTGAAGCATATTCTACCAATCCTAAATCAAAACAGAGTAGTCCATTTCGTAGGATTTGGGAATCGCCTAGCGTCTGACCCATTACCATTTCAGCTACAGGTAACTATCTTTAGCCTCCATTTGGGGTCTTTCCTGCCGGATTTTTGGTCATTTCTGTTATATACCTTTGGTCCTTGATTCATTTGTAATTTTTGAACTTCATCTAGAGACTCCGGTGCAGATGTAATTTTCATGCTCTGAGATTTGTTCCCAAAATACAAGAAGTTGGTGCTTTGCTTATCCGGAGGATGAGACAAAATGTAACGCGCTTGGGGCGGTTGGATCCTCACTTGGTTGGTCCATACGCAATGCGGGGTCAAAGTATCCGTGCAGTAAAAACTACCCCGAGATATTTGGCATTACACTTGAGGTTTGAAATTGACATGGTAGCCCATTCTCTGTGTGAGTTCGGTGGGGGCGAAGAAGAAAGAAGAGAGTTGGAAGCATATCGTCAAATCCATTTCCCTGCATTGGTGGAGTTAACAAAGACCAAGAAGTAAGTCTTACTGTGCCATTTTATTCTCTTGTTACTTGCACTGTAGTATAAAGCAGAATTCATGTTAACTGAGATAAACTATTGCGTTAATCTTCTTCCAAAGCAGTACTATCCTCACTAACAACCTTAAAATTAACGCGTATGCATCATTTTCCTTATTATTCAAAGAAACACTATTGACCGTCGTTGTAAGTGTAAAGTTTATTAAAATAACTGAAGTGGCTTAACGAGTTGAATTTATTAAGTTAAGGGAGAATTTATCAAAAAAAAAAAAAGTTAAGGGAGAAATAACTGAATTTGCTCACACTGTGGTAAAAGGAATGGCTGGATTTGCTGATTTTGGGGTTAAAAATATTAACCCCAAAAGCAGTTTTAACTTAAAACTGCTGAATTCTCTGAAATTGTGGGTGAAATAGCTGATTTGCTGAATTATCTAAAACTAGATCTATATACAGTAATATAACTTTTACTCATAAATTCTCTATATATAATATAATAGTAACCTCTAACAGTGTTGTTATGGTTCCGCGGCGCGGTGCCACTGGACCGCCATGGCGATGTGGCACCCGCCATGACGACATTTAATGCCGACATAAGTACAATATCAAATGCATAATATGTTTTATATACTACATGTAACACTTAGAGAAATCAAGTCATTCAATAAGTTTACTATTAATTGTGCATAATTTCACAACATTAATTTCACTTGCATGAAGCATAACTTCAGCACAACATTAAAAATAAAACAAATGTGAAGCAGAAAATACCGACTAATTACTAAAACTATTACTACATCCATCCCACTAACATTGGGACAAGAGGATGTGGCACGGTTATTAAGAAATATGGGTTTATGTGATTGATATTGAATTGATGAAGTAAGAATAAAGTAAGAATGATTTAAAGCCACACAAATTTTACCAAATTTGGTATGAGACAATCTTATTGGGACGGACTAAAAGGAAAGATGAGACAATCTTAGCGGGATGGATGGAGTAATAATTACTAATAGTATTTACTAATTACTAATAGAAAGAAAATTTGTTTTAAAAAAATAAAGAAAATGTTAAATACACTGCTGCACTAAATGAAACCTGAGAGGAACAAGTGGAATGACGTGTGGGGAAGGCCGACAAAAAACAAAGAATTAGGATGGGAATTGGGAAATCGCATGAGAGGACGATGATGCTTTGGATGGCGATGAGCGGGACGATGGCAGATGGCGATGATCAAGACGATGGTGGATGGCGACGAACGAGACGATGGTGTCGGCCGAGACGAGTCTGGACTCGGGAGATGCCCATTTTGCTTCAGATAGGTCACTGCCTTTTTTTTAAATAATTTTGAGAGGGTATTTTATTATTGGGTTTGTGCTTGTTCAGACTATGGCTTGAGTTAGGATCCGCTCCGTCATGTGGCGTCTGGCATTTTTCAGATTCAGTGGCGTCAATGCGGAGACGCCATAATACCATAAGGCGAGCAGGATTGAGCGCCGCAACACCATAACCACTATGACCTCTATTTATTACCACATATAAAATATTTTGGTCAAACTTCAATTTTTTCCACTTGTACCTCTATTCAGTTATAATCTCTCAATTAGAATATACTACCTCCGTCCCATTTTATGTGTCTACTTTGATTTTGGCACAATTTTCATAAAGTGGTTGAAAAGGTAAAAGTTGTGGTTGAGATTTGAGTATAATAAAGTGAAATGTTGTGAACCACATATTTCTTTCCAAAAAGGGAAAGGTGACCCATATTTTGGGACAACCCAAGAAGGAAAGTAAGACAGGTAAAATGGGACGGAGGGAGTAACTAGTTTGGTCCCAAGGACATTTTTATGCACACTAACTTTTTCAAAATATGAATTAAAGAAAAATGAAGGAATGCACATAAAAGTGCTGTTTCCGTTCATTTATGTCTAGTAACTTCAGCACTACTCTTTTTCATTATCAAATGAAAAGTGTTTGGTAGAACTTCTGACTGATAAAGTTGATAAGCAGAAGAATCAAGCTACCAAACATGCCATAGTTAGTCATAAATCGAATTGATTTTCAAGAAACTCATGTGCTGCAGGTTGCCTTCTCCTGCAGTTCTTAGGTCTGAAGGTCTGTGTCCATTAATGCCTGAAGAAACAGCACTCGTGCTTGCTTCCCTAGGTTACAATCGCCAAACTCGCATATACCTGGCTGGTGCACACATCTATGAAGGGAAATCAAGGCTAGCTGCCTTAACCACCTTGTATCCATATTTGGCAACTAAAGAAAGCCTGCTTTCTCAATCTGAAATCCAACCATTTGCAAATTTCTCTTCTCAGGTATAGATGAATGGTTTTTTTATAGATGAAATGTAAGTATATATTAAAGATCATCCAAATAGTACATCTGTAATTCTGTACAACAAAAAGAGTGGGCAAAAATGTAAGCTATTTAGAGATCGGATAACCCATCACCTCAAAATCTAGATGCTAAATCTATGCAAGATCAAACGGCCAAACACAAACAAAATAGGTGATGGGCCACACAAGAGTTTACCAAAACACTACCAGATCTACTATACAAAATCTTATGTACTATATACTGTATCCTTGCAAAAACATCATCTTCTTTTGGAGCAAGTCCATCAAATCTTGTGGCATTTCATTCCCTCCAAATCCAGTATACGGTGTAATAGAACACAACTCGGGCAGCTTTAGCTTGAATACCGCTCCAAACATTAAGGAATGAACATAAATAGGGATTCCAATCCACCCTTTTGTAGTTCCACTTCTTTCTATCTTTATCCATTTGATCGAGCTTGCTAGTGTGCCCATCTCCCTCGGGATTCCAATCCACCCTTTGACCAAGCTCCAAACATTACTTAGGGACTTAAGTTCCTTTTTTATCCTGCAAAATATTAGGCAAAGATAAAAGAAAGGAAAAACAGGGAAAATGGAAGGAAAGAAAAAGTGGGGGGATCAAAGATAGGATGACGCGTAATTAAATAATTATAAATATCTTTATACTTATATGCTTTGTTTGTCTATTCTATAGACTAAAAAATCATAGTATATGTCAATTTAAAATATTACAGAGTAATACTCATTTCATTTTTATTTGCACTTTCCAAGTACAAACCAAAATAAGAAAACAATTTTCCTGAACGTCTCTTTTTCCCTTTCCCAAAACTATCCGTGAATCACCAGTAGTTGTGAATAGTTTAAGGTGAACTGCTGCTCTTATTGCAGCTAGCGGCTTTGGACTTCATTGTCTGCACTGCTTCAGATGTGTTTGCTATGACAGACTCAGGAAGTCAATTCTCCTCATTGGTATCCGGTTACCGAGTATATTATGGAGGGGGGAAGATGGCCACCATACGCCCAAATAAACGCAGACTTGCTGACATATTTGTCAAGAACAACACCATTGGGTGGAAGGTGTTTGAGAAGAGGGTGAGAAAGGCAGTGAGGCAAACAAAACGGGTGTTTTTGCGCCCAGTTGGTAGGAGTGTATATAGATATCCTAGATGCCGTGCATGCATGTGCAATACAGACAATTGATGGATGAATGTTTACAATTTCCAAATGATATATAGTTCTCTGTACATGGGGTCCGTCATGTGGATGTAAGTTGAGTTTTCCTTGTTAAATTTGCTTGCGCATCCTCTGTTTAAAATGTGGTAGAGTTCAAAAGTATAGTGTTTCTATGGGAAATATCTGTATTATAGGGACATATCTACTTCTCAACTTTCTTTTCAAATAATAATTAAACAAGAATTGTAAAGTTGGAACAAGTTTGAACTTAACTCAATCATTTAAAGATACAATTGTTCCATCTTTACCATTTTTGTGTTTAATTGTTTCTAAAAATCGAATGATATATGTGTTCACTAACATAGAGTGCAACAGTATGTTTGTTACTAATTCCAAACTTGTGGTTGTTGATTTTTGCAATTGCACTTGACATTTACAAAAGTCACATTCTAAGATTGTTTTGGGGAAAATTACCCTAAATAGGATTAAAACGTTTGTATATTCCAAAGTAGGATTAATTATTGTCATGTTTTGACAGTATCAGACTTTAAGCATTACATTATTTTCCATACTGGGCAGTAATTACCCTTGTTTTGATAATAAAAACATGGTGATCATATTTTGAATTTTTGAAAATTTTTTACTCCTATTTCGTAGATTTTACCTTGTTTTTGGGTAAAAAGAGTCTCCTACAAAATGCTAACTTTCATTCTCAGGTAAAAGAGTCTAATGCGCAAAATCTACTTGTGATATACGGAGTATAGGTGTGTGCATTAGTCCATTTTAATTTGAAAAATGTGTCAGACCTCCCATGTGTTATAATTATTTATACGAAGATTTCCATTGAAGAATAAATTTAGTTGTCAAATAAATGAACATATTTAGTTGTACACTTGTACTCTTAAAACTGTCATTTTTGACTTTTCAAGTCAATGGTGGTAATGTTTGGAGAATGATTTTGATTAGTATAATCTTATGAATGTTATAAATTCTATACTATACTTGTATAATGTGTTTTAAGCAAAGAACATTTCATATCGTTTTTTAAAAATTATTTGCTATAAAAATGTATTATTGGTCAAAGTTTAACATGACTTACTAATAAGTTTAAAGATGATAAAGTTTTAAGTGATGGAGAGTATTTTAAAACCGTTTAAACATACTGGCAAAGTTATTTTTATGCTCACTCTGTCAATCATAACATTAACCATTGATTTCAAATTGCTGAATATGTTATCTCAAGGTGTTGTGTGCATGATCAATTCTTCGTATAAGTTTGTAAATTGACGAATTTGACACATTTTTTAAATTGCAAGAGACCGTAGAATTTGTATATCACGTGAGGTGACACATTAAAGCCAAATTTCTTGCACACGCAATAAATGGTTTGGTGGATTACTCTAAATAATCTTTGAAATGTATCTTTGGTTAAGTTGAATATAAATAAAAAAAGTTATACTCTCTTCTCAAACATTTCTATGAAGACCATATGTATTAACTATAATGGATAAAATAATACAATACAAAACATTAAGCTATATCATACTATTCTCATTATTAGCCTGGCGATTCAAGTCACATGCATCAAAATGAAGCTACCAAAGAGACACTAGATAGTTAATGAATGAATAAAAAAAGAACACAAAACCACTACTACTGCTAATCATAGTATTCATCTTCCCTCTGCTTCAAACTGGAACTATCTCTTCTGTCGTTTTGGTCTAACCTACAAGCAATAGGAGATTGTTATAGGCTTATAGCAACTCACAACTGACTTGAATTGAGTTGCAAAAATGCTCCAATGCACATTTAACCAACCAAAGATAGGGAAACAAAAAAACAGCTTATTACTCTCTATTGTATAGCAAAACCAACCTTGTCACTACTCATTGCAGAAACAGGACACTCGCTTGGGCGTTTTTTCGCATGTTGAGCCGATAAACAAGCGGTACAAACAAATCGATCCTGCTGCTTTGCCTGTTGGATAGACATGCCCTCGCACCTGGGATGGAACCTGCAAAGAAGAGTGAGAGAACCTGATGGAAAATAAGTTGATGTACTCACCCTGGGGTCCTCTTCCCCAAGGTTCTATATGACAGGATGAGTCTAAGCAAAGCAGTTTTAAAACTCGCATGCTGTTTTTGAGTCTTAACTAGATCGATTGTTCATTTAAGTTTTGTTGTCGAGACCAACTTAATAGACGGTAGGATTAAAAATGACCTTATATATGTTAGTCTGTATCATTGTATTTGTTTTGTACTTCTGTGTAGAATAGTGTAACAAAAACCATCCCATATTTAAGTTTTGTTGTAGAGACCAACTTAATAGACGGTAGGATTAAAAATGACCTTATATATGTTAGTCTGTATCATTGTATTTGTTTTGTACTTCTGTGTAGAATAGTGTAACAAAAACCATCCCATTATAGTATTATACCAGTCCTTGCAGGCTTCACATTGCATCATCAGGTCATCTGGGTTGTAAGGCAACTGGCATTTGCAATACCTGCAAATCAAATGAGACCACATATGACTTTTAAGCCATTACAACTTAAGGTTCAACCAGAAACCAACACAAACAGCATTCACACATACACAACAACTCGGTCAGGATGGCAAGCTCCAGTTGCAGCATTGTACTCAAATCGACAATAGTAATCATCTGGACCGACACATGAAAGTTCAGTGTACGCCATGAAAGAGTGAACGGTACATTTCCCTTCAATGGTTTCGGCACTCTGGACATCATAGTGATCTGATAAGAACAACTCTTTAGTTCCGTGAAACGATTGCCTCCCTCTCATTGTTTCCTCCGGTCGGTAATACCACCTCACACACACATTCACATTGTTTCTGTCGTCAGCCTCTATTTTCTGCACATATGCCACATATGGGGCTGTTTCGTTCTCCGGCGATCTCATCAGCACACACTCTCCAGCTTCACATTAATCATTATTGATTCAGAAACACAATGTTTGCATCTTGGAAAGTAATTAAGAGTGGTGAAGCAAATGTATTTTTAAGGGCCAAATCTTAAAAGTCTAACATCTTCTGATCTTTACTGAATATACACACACTAATACACACACCTACGAAGTACGGAAACTCTCGGAAAAGAGTATGATTCCGTAAAAAAGAATCGCATAAACTAAGTGTACACCAAACATGATTGTTTTTTCCATTAGACGCTTTAAAACTCAACCAAGATCAAATTTTTATCATCAAGATTCAAGAAACTATTAGAGCTAACACAACCCATGCATGTTATACTCCGTATATGAATATGTAATGAGAAAATATGTGTACCTCTGACGACTCTGTTGGTGCCTCTGATTGTGTAAGAGTGCAAATCTCGTTTCCCATGCCTGCTCTTGGCCATGGTGACAATCGCTCGATCAAGTTGATCTGTCAAAGAAAACGACGACGTAGGAGAAAATATATGTTGTGTGTATGATCCTTGATCTCCAAAGACCAAAGCTAAGGGTTCGTATAATGAATGGACAAATGTTCGTAGCAATACATGCATGAATCATATCTTATGTGTATACATTACAGTCAAGAAAAGAGTGGTGATATTCAGGCGCACGTATTTATCGCTACTGCAATGTACTCCATAAAGCAAGTTATGTTTCTACCGTAAGCCCTAGCTAGACAAGGAATTAGTATGTTTTTATTTGGGACCAAGCCAAATCACGACTTAAACAGATCAAATTAGGTCAGATCAAACTTCAATAATTATAAAATACAAAGGGATCACCCAGGGTCGACTCAATAGCTTAGGAGATCCCATGTAAATCACAAAAAGGACCTTGTATTAAATCAATGCAATACAAAAAATCAACCTTAAAAACCCCAACAGAACTACAACCAAATGTGAGATTGAGTGATGATCACGTTTCCGAACTTGAACAAATAAAATCAGTAAAAAAATCTAAAAATCGAATATAAACGATTCAAAATAGGATAAGAAAACGTGAATATTTTACCTTTGGTTGGATGACCCGAATAGTGAGATCGTTCGGGAAAATCAAGTAATTAAATATTTTCGAAAAGAATCACAAAGAGAATAACCTAATTTGTACTGAATGTGATAAGTCGAGAAAGAGAAACTGGTAAATCGTGCAAAAGCCAAGTTGATTACTTGATTTGGAAATGGGAAGGATTATTTAACTTTTATTTTTAATTCATTTAATTTAATATGGAAATTGTAAGGGCCGTTCAGCGCTTTCATTTAAGATATTTCTAGGGAAAACTATCAAATAAGTCCTCGTACTATACCGAAAAAGTCGATTAGACCCTCGTACTTTACAAACACTTAAATAAGTTCTCGAACTATTAAAAAACGTTCAATAAAGCCCTTTCGGTCGGTAAGTAACCGGTTTCCCGGTTAAATGTAACCCGTTTCCTGGCAGCCGCCGTTGCTGGGGTTCGAGCACATCGTCGCCGTCGTCGCCGTTTAACCGGGAAACCGGTTACTTACCGACCAAAAGGGCTTAATTGAACGTTGTTTAATAGTTCGAGGACTTAATTGAGTGTTTGTAAAGTACGAGGGCCTAATCGTCTTTTTTGGCATAGTACGGGGGCTTATTTGATAGTTTTCCCATGTTTCTAATTACTTTACATATACATCTGGTGCAGACTAACGGGAACTCCTGTCCGGTCAAGGCCGTTTGGGACCTTACCAGTGAAAATTTTTTATTAAATTTTTTGAGCACATTCTTCATGAAATTTAGTTTTGCCCTGTTTGGATAACAACGTTTTTACCCAAAACGCTGATCTTTATAAACCAGAAAACGCTGCATTTTGTAAACTGGAAAACAAACGAGACCTTTATACCCAAAAAATATCAGATTAAAATTCAATTGGAAACTCAATTAAATAAATTATCGAAGTTGAAACTGACTTCCAGATTGAATTTGAAGTTGAAACTTTGTAGAGACAATCTACATTTGGTGAAGAATATGGTAAAACAATTCCATTGAGAAGAACCCCAAATGGTCTTGGACGAGCGGCGATTTCTGTGCAGTCCGCCTGAGGAGATCATTTTCACACACACACACACTATACATATTCTAGAAAAAGTGGGGCGAATATTTTTGGAGGCCATGTGCAAAGGCACTGTTTGCATAGCCCCATCTACGGCCCTGGACCACACATCAACTAGACCCAACCAGACCTCTTCTGACCAGATCAGACCACACCATAAATTTTCAGTCCAATTAAAAATATCTTTAGTGGCAAATTATTAGAAGTCCACGATTTTTAAAAATTTTGATGTATTGAATGTTGAATTTTATAAGTGTATAAACGTCGTAAGCGTATTCAAACTTTCATTCATTTTTATGCACTTTTAAAACCATGGATGGTCATTGACGTGCACTTTGTCGTGAGTGCACTCAAAATAAATTTAACACTAACACTTATACGTAGTATAGGTGAAGTGGAGTTCGTATCCACAGGGAAAGGAATAACTTTCTTTTTATATAAATAGTAAGTAAAGGGGGGGTTTTGATTGTTGAGTGATTTAATTAAATTAAACACGAAGATGAACGAGTTATATGGGATTTAATTCAAAGATAAAAGATACTTGGCATTGCTACTTTCCACTTGTTGATATATTTTAGTCGATCATTGTTATATCTATAACTTATCTTCTCTCGAATACTCAATCGAGGAGTATATTCAATTCATCGAGGATAGTTATTAACAACGACCGTTCATTAATAACCCTTACTATTAGTCAAGTATAGAACAACGCCATATACCGACTTGATAGTAGCATTTAATCTTTTAACTCCTTGATGAAATCAATTGAGATTGATAACCTTAACACAACGGTTTCGGTTTAACCAACAAAATTAATCCCTCTTAAGTTTATCAACCACGACCGTGCATTAATAAACCGAAGTTACTTACTTGTGAAACTATCAACGATTAACCATCGGTCCGTTGATCATTTCTAGTAGTAATTAATATATGAAACAAAACTAGTTGATCCTTTAAGTAATGTTCAAAATATTAATATGAAATATGAATAGGAATTAATTAATACTCAAGGAAGAATATTAAAGGGAATGAATCCTACTATAGTTAAATATCAAGATGTTAACTAATTGTCATCTTAGCAACACTCCCCGATATTAACATAGAGGAAGGAATAGTTATTACTAAGACCAATGTCAAGATGTTAACTAATTGTCATCTTAGTAACACTCCCCAACATTGATATAGAATAGTATTTAAAGGAAGAATTAATATTCAAGGAAAAGAAGTTAAGAAAATAACTCACAACTTTAATAATCAACAAGCTTCAAGAGCAATACCAAGAAATGGATGTTTAGCTCCTCATTTGGAGACTAAACATATTAAAAAAATATAAAAGAAATACTATTCTAAGTTGAGCTTAAGAGTATGGAAGAAGGAGTGATTAAAAGTGAAGGAAAATGGGGCTATTTATAGGTGTTTTGAAGGTGCTGCGGCGGATACCCGGCCGGGTATTTGAGATACCCGACCGGGTATTTGTCAAAATCAAATATTTTGGCCACGATTTTGTGTTTTCTGCACGTCTTTTTGTCCGGGTCACTTCATACCCGACCGGGTAAAGGCTATACCCGACCGGGTAAGTCACCAAATCACATTTCTTGCATGATTTCTTGTTCCCTTGCACTTTCCTTTGATCTTGTAAGATCCCTTCCATGATCCTTTGTTGATTCTTGATTGTTTCTTGCTCAAGATGATTCTAAATTTACTAAATTACAACAAACTAGAAAAATAAAATGATTGCACCTTAAATGTGCAATTTTCACAACAACACACCATAAAAAGTAATTAAAAGTAAAAATATAAACACTCAAAAATCAATGCAATCAGTCATGGACTTTTAACACATTGTTAGTACATTAGTTCTCTACAATTGTTATTTCCCCTCCCCAAAGATTTCAGTAGGCGATCTTTTTGTTTCAGCTTCTACTCGTCACAAGTACACATGTACTCACTTCTAGTATCATATCAGAATCAGCTAATTATTTACTTGGATTCACAAATCGAACAACCGGTCCTGGACTAGTACTGGGTCAAGAGGTGCGAGGATGATATCAATATGCAAGGTTTGCAAATCAAACAAGATTTTTTTTTTATCATTTTAAGATTAATAAAATTTAAATAAGTGGATGCTACATCAATACAGATACAAGAGATAAAAAATAAAATTTAAAAAGTGATTTTCTGTTGACCATCTTATGAAGAAAATAGTACGATTGGGGTTGGTTCGGTTTTTTAAAAGTGTTGGGGTAATTGGCCCAACACAGGATAGACCCCATACCCCTGCTAATGAATCCAGAATCATGTTAATGCCCAAAGATCAGTAGGTATATCCCGCACGACATATGTGAGGTCCTTGAGTAACTCATCTCGGCTTCTATGGATGGACTCTCAAGCCTCTGTCTTGGAACAATTGGTGGGAAAGCAAGGAAATGGCGAGAAGTACTCAAATACATTTGATGCACCAAATATAGAAAAGTTTATGATTGGGGCCCAGCCACTCAGGGTTTGCCACATCACCATCACCACTCAGGGTTTGCCACGTCGTCATAGAAATTTGTGGCGGGGTTTTTTGTGGCGGTTAAAACCGGTGTGCGCAGGCTCTTTTTTTGGAACAAGATGGCTAATATTGATAATAACACACTCAACAAGGAATAAAAGAGATAAAAGAAACACTTTCAGCCACTAACCCTCGAACCAGCCTGAGAACCAATCACCCTAGACAGAGCAATATAATTCGTTGATCCTGTAGTGGGTCTGATGGAGTATATGGCCCATGAACCCCCGCCCACAGACTCCTACTTCTCCTACACATGCCCAATGGGCACGCAAAACCCAAACATAGCGACCCAAGTATGAAGAAGCCCACGGTGCACATATGGGTGCCTTCAGCCCTATGGCCGAGGGCTCCAAACTCCAGGGGGCAGCTAGGTTTAAGCATACGAAACTACTGGGAGAAAATGGCAGAAAATAGGAGCCCTCGGCTCCTAGGTGCCCTTGGCACATGGGTAGCCTTCAGCCACAGAGAGCCTTCGGCCACGGGACATGCCTTCGGCTACAGAACACTTAGCGAAGATTTCTTTTAGAGACAGACAACCACCGCATTCAATGCGGCGTCACGTCCAACCACCGCATTTAATGCGGTGCACATGCAAATGCCGGTGTCACCCCGATTGAGATGACCCTCGACCGTTAGATGATCGACACATGTACTCATCTAGCATTTATGGCTGCTATAAATAGCAGCCCTTATTCCTCTTGTAAAGGATCCCAACATTTGGAGTTCATTTAATATATTCGACTCTCTCTTACTTGCTCGCTCTGACTTCTCTCTAGTTATTCCCCGCAATAACCCCTCGGATAAGCTACCCCCGGGTACACTATCCATCAGGGTCTATATTATGAGCCTAACGTGGCCAGAGCAAAACCCTCATCACCCCCACCTAATGTAAGAGTTTGACAGAACAAAACAACAATAAAGGAAATAAACAAAGTCTGATCGAACAACAGGAAAATAAAAACAGTAAAAGCGTGGAAATTAAAATGGATCATAAAAATCAATAGTGAACTCCAATGCCCTTCCTCAGCTAGCAGCATCTTCATATTTCTCGACGGGTCGAGGAGCCTGAACCCGCCCCCTCACCATTTTTTGGGTCATCCAAAACCAT